TTATCCTAAAAAATTAGTATAACTTTATAGAAAATAAGTTAATAAACAAACACTTTCTTTTCTTAAAAAACACTTTAAGTCATCTTCAATACCAAAAACTATTTTAAGATCTTTTACAATTTGTGCTGCAGTTGTACCAGGTGTTATATCAAATGTTTCTATCCTTCGTGAGTATTTGACTTGCATCATTTTACATCCTTCAGGTGGGTTATGAAATTTAACTGGTTGCCCAGTTTCATCTCCTGTTCTCATTAATGATGAAGTAGCTTTAGATCGTTGTGGTTTTGCAACTGCCTCAAGTCCATGTTCAGCACAGAAGAATTTACATCCCTTAAGGTGTTTTCTTAGATTTTCTTGTTTATTTTTTATTTTCATTACACGAGACAATTCACCACGGGTATGAGCTTCTTGACAGGCTTTACAAGTCATATACTCTACGCCATTTTTTTCACCTGCAGGATCAAAGTATAAAGACATTTCAGCTTTAACGGGAACTACATTATTAAAATCTTGATTTTGGTCTTTAGTATCAATAGGGTCTTGTGAAAGAGAAGATGATGAAAGAATGTCTTCTGAATCGTCACTAGCCATTGGTGATCTGAATATGTAATGACCTGATTGGGGTTCCATGTTTTTTCTCTTTTTTATTATTCTTTTAAATAAATTAATATTGTTTCTATGTTCTTCTTACAGAGAAAACAACCCGATTTTACTCTTCTTGTAAGGTCATTCACCTCAAACGGTTTTTCTCTTTCTGAAAATAATTTTTTTGTTTTCTTTATATTCTTTTCATTGAACTGATTATTTGCAATACCACACACAGATTAATAAATAATAGCTAATTTCATTGAAAAAAATAGATATTAATGTTAATGTAAATGCAGAAGATTAATGTAGTTGAATAAATATCAGAAAAAAAAATTAATAATGTTGAATTAAAATTCAATTATCTTTCCAATTAAATAAGAGAAGAATAATAAAACATAAAAGAAATTATTGTATCCATAATGTAATATAATGAATATAATGAATATAACATAATTTATTGAGATATTTTCTTCTTTTAAGACTAAGAATTATCTTGAGGATTTTTTATTTATTTTTTTTAATTTTGACATATTCAAATAAATTCTGTATTCAAGTAGTATAACTCATTAAATGAATTGATTAGGTTCTAACTGAATCATTAAGCAAAAAAAAATTTAATTACTTTTTAGTTATAGGGTGGTTGTTCTATGTTCTGACAGGTGATTTTAATAGTTAACGTACCAACATCTTTAATTGGAATTTTTTCTCTTCTTATATCACCAATTTTCATTGGAGAAAATACATAACTTGCAATTCCTACTGACTTCTTAAGTGATTTGCCATTTTTAATATGAAAAATGATTTCTTCTCCATCCTCAATGACAGCAGGAAATTCCTCACACCAAAAAGGATTTAAAGATTTTTCATATTGACGTGTTGTTTGCTTTTCTGTTCTATTTGTTTTAAAAGATACATAAGCTTCTAGTATACCAGTAATATCGGCATATAAATCAGTTGCAGAGACAATATTTAATAAAACAGAATATATAACCATTGATAAAGATTTTCAACTTTTTAAGTTCTTGTCTCAAAAATAACCGGATTGGTTTTTTTTTTTAAAAAATGACAAAATTATGAAAAAATGAAAAACGAATGAAGAATCAAACCAAGTTGGTTTTTTAAGCCTTTTTTAAGTTTTCAATCATCCATTCATCAGTAAGGTCTTCAACATCTTTAACCGTATAATTTCTTTGAACACCTGGTAAACTAGATTGGAGAGATGCAAGGCATGAGGTATAAATCATTGAAAATTGTGGATTTATTCCTGTTGGTGATGAATAAATTAAAACTAATGGATATGTAATTCTTCCATCACGAGTTTCAAACTTGTAGCTATAAACGATGAATCGTGGTTCAGTTGTTGGGAGATAGTCTTGGAGATCAAGAAGAGGAGTGTTATCAAGTTCTTCTTCAACATCAATTGAATTATTACTTCTATTAATTTTAAGAATTAATGCACAATTTTCTGGATTTCTTTTAATCTTAAATTTCTTAAATTGAGCTGCTGCATCTGCTGAAAGAGTTGCTAAAGAATTCATTAACTTTTATAGTTCACCCGCTAAATCTTTATTTTCTTGATTCTTCTTTTTCAGTCTGCAAAATCATTCTAAAAATGTTATTGAATTAAAAATATGTTTTCCATTTTTCTATTAGTAACTGTGCTTCTTCACCTTCTGTTTTTCTTTCAATCGAAGTTACAAGATCTCTTTGTACTTTAGTAATGATTTTACCTAATAAATTTCCTCCAATAATACAACCATCCTTGAGGAAAATCTCCATAAATTCATTACCATTCTGTTTCAATATAGATTCTCCTTCAATAATCCCCACAGAATAAACTCCAATGAAACTAAAAACAAAATATGGCATAGGTGTATGTATATATTTGGTGAATTCTCCTATTATTGCCTTGCCACAAACAATTCCTTGTTTCATTGAATCTGTCCAATTACCATAACAACGGCCATTATACTCACAACAATCACCACATGCAAAAACATTCGAAACATTTGTCTGCATATATTCATTAACAATGATGCCATGATTAATTTTACAACCAATTGATTGTGCCAATTGAACTGAACTTTTAATACCACATGAATAACAAATTAAGTCACAGGTTATATTCTCTCCATTTGAGAATTCAATTATTTTGGTATTTCCTTCACAAAGAATAGCCTTGATTTGAGAGTTTAGTTTTAGTTGAATTCCATTTTTAAGTAATACATCCATAAACACTTTTGATGCAGTTTTTGAGAGTTGGCGTGGTAATATTCTATCTGCTATTTCAACTAGAGTTACTGTAACTTTTGCTGACTTTCTTCTTAAAGCATTTGATATTTCAATTCCCGAAAGACCTGCTCCAATGATAGCTACTTGTTTTATTACTCTTGTTTCAAATAATGAGTTTATTGCTTCCATATCTGCAATTGAATGAATAGGTATAATGTCATTAGAAGATGATTGTTGAATGAAAGGTGGTTTGTTTGGCTCACCACCAACAGCAAGGACAAGTTTAGAAAACGGTATTTCTTGTCTTACCAAATCTTTTTCAGCAATCACTATACTGTTTTTCAAATCAATTAATTTTACAGTAAAACCAAGAAGGATATTAATCTTATTCTTTTGGTAGAACTTTTTTTGTTCGATGAAGAATTGTGGATTGTTACAGAATGGTGGATCTAATAATATTTTAGGTATAGCTGTTCTATAATATGGAAAATGTTTTTCTTTACAAATAAGAGTTATAGAGTGTATCCCTTTTTCTATTAAACATCTTATTACTGACAATGATGCAATTCCACCCCCAACAATCACTACCTCAAGATTACTTGATAAAGAAGATTGGGAATTTTCCTTAACATATTCTTCTTTCTTTAATGACTCTGAACCACAACATTGACATTTATCTTCGTTGAGTTGTGTGTTACTACAAATATCACAACGGTACTGTATATTTATATTCATAAGTTTTTATCGAATAATTTTTAACATAAGTGTTAGTGTCTTTTCGTTTCTTTTAATTGTTTATTGAGAGATAGATAAAAAGAAAGAGACTTAATACCTAGAGAAAAATTTATAATTTATTAATGATAGTTTTGACACCAATCTGGAGATTAAACATGGAAAACCCAAATTCAGAACAGTCATCACTATTTGTCATAAACCCATCTAATAATGATGTCATTCCAAAAGGATTTTTAACATGAGAACGAAGAATTAAAAATATGATTACATTAATAAAATCATCTGTCGCACTAAATAATTATTCTTGTGTTTATTTTGAACAATAAAATAATGATAACAAACAAATCGATAGGAGTTTGACCATTATTATATTTTGCCATATCTTCAATAATAGTTTTATGTAATTTAACAATTAACTCACGAGCTTTAAGTAGTGTTGTAACTTCTTCAAGCATTTTTATTGTTTTTAATGAACGGTCAAAAACAATGTCAAGACTGTCCTTTGGATATTTTGGTGGCTCTAAGTGGAGAACTTGTCCTAAATCTTGAGAACCTAATTTCATAATTTGAAGTTCATATCTTTCATCATTCTTTTCTTCTTTTTTAATGAAAATATCTTTAACAGAATCAAAACATAATTCAAAGAGAATACCCTCAACGAAAGGAGTTAGTTCATCTGATTTTTTTATGTGAAAGTGATTTGCTATTTGTTCTTTTAACTCAGATGCAGTTTGAACAACTAAGGTTTTAATATGAGCAGCAATTTGACTATTTTCAGACTTCTTAAGAATACCAATTCTAGAGATATTTGCCATAAGTGCTTGTATTGAACACTCTATTACATCAAGTAATGGATGAGAGGGACAATCAGCAATTGACTCAAATACCTCTTCAACTAATTCTTTTTGTTTATTGTCTTTAAGATATATTTTGATTATTTTTTTAAGATGGTCGTCAACTTCTTTAGCTGTTTTTTGCATGGAAAATAAATTTTAATTTTTTAAGCATATTTGCTAGTTCTCTTATTTTTTTTTTACTTTTATTTAAAAAAAAAAAGAAAAGTGTTTATCGTACTGTCAATTACACTAATGAGGTAGTTTCAGTTTTATTTCAGATTTTGGTTTTACTGATTCTGAAGATACACAACAATATGCACCTGAATGTGTTTCTATTACATAATTAGAATTGTATCTTGATGGTATTAAGTTGTTTAAATTGCCAAGGTAAGGACTTTTTCGCATACGGAACCATGTAAAAATTACTACGACACAAAGAACAATTCCAATTACACAAAGAGTACCGACATAATACAATAAATAATAATAAAATTGGTGTCTTTCTTCATTTGATTCATCAGCAAGTGTATAACAAATTGACAAAAACAAAAGGAGTAATTTCATTAGGATATTAAGATCTGATTGAAAAGGATAAATTAACAAAACGTTTTTCCTTTGGTTTGATTCTCTTTTTATTTTTGATAAAAACAAGAAAAAATTGAATAAAAAAAAATAAAAATATTTTATTTTTAGAAAATAGTAAATAATGATTCTTTTTTGTTAGCACTGGAACAATGATATTTGATTTACAAGAAACTAAATAAAATAGATGGTCATTTAAACTGGTGAATTTTTTTGTTTCTAGTGAAGGAAAGTAATGAACAAATGAAATTATGATAAGTTTCTTAAGAAGACAAGATAACATTTGATTGATTTTACAGTAAAAATAGAAATGGATATAAATTATTATTCAAAAAGATATTAGGAAATACCAAAATAAAGAGTTTAATAAAAGGGGATTAATTACTTGCTACTGAAGATTCGTTTAACTCAAGAGAATAAACAATTTCATAAGAAATATGCCAATCAACTTAATACCTTTAAGAAAACAAGAAACTACCAAAGTCAACAAGAAGCTATAATGCTAGGATTATTAAATAAGTATGAGAATTGTTCATTGTTTACACTCAAAAAAAACATTGTAGATGTATTTCTTTCATTCAGTTAAACATTATATTTATTAATGATAAAAAAAAATTAATTGTAACGAAATTATTAACTCAAGATACGGATTTCTATAAAATGGACAAACAAATGAGATTCAAGATAAACTACACTCAGGAGAAAAAGCAAATTTATTGTCTCACCAATAAATTTTCTTGATAATGTAATAGAAATGAAAGGTTATTGTTTTGAATCAAAAATATCAACCGGAAAAAAAGGAATTCAAAAAAAAACACTTCATACAATTACCTCGTAAATCCTTTATCTTACAAAGAAGATATTATTAATAAAGGAACAGAGCTTAATAAACACTTTTTATTTCAAATGCAACATAGTTCTCAAACACTTTTTAAAAAAGGAAATCCATATATAGTGGAGGTTCTTGGTTTTTAATTAACACATAATTTTTTCTTTTATCACAATTCATCAATTTTATTTTAGGTAATGGAAATAACTTACTCCTTTATTCTTATTGAAATTTAAAAACAGAAGAGTTTCTAAAAAGAGTTTCTTTTAACTATTTAAAAAGTTGTTAGTACAATTAATTGTAAAAGGCTTTAAGTGTTTTATTATCTAATTAAAAATATCTTTTTTAATCATTAATATTACAATTATTTTGTTTTTCAATTTAAAAAACAAATTAAGAGACTGAAATATTCTCATTGGATTGATTTATTTTTCAATTTATTTTACTATTAATAATACCTAGTATATATATTATATTTATTCACAACCACTAATTTTTATAATGAACAAATGAATCAATTATAGAAGAACGAGGTTAATGAAAATAGTACTGTTCAAAATATAAATATTTGAGAAAATAACAATAATATTTTAGATATTTTATATTAAACACAAAAATAAATAAGAGTAATATTATTTTATTATTACTTAAAACAATGATAAGAAAATTATTTAATTATAATAAAATAATCAACAAACAATAATAAAAATGATGAAATTATTTCAAATTTAATTGTTTTACTTTAGTAGTATATCTTGAAAAGATGACTGCATGTTTCATAGAACTATTTTGAATTAAAGAAGAATAAGCGATAACAAGATTATTCATAACACTTTTTAAATCTTTATCCAAATTATCTTTTTGACTTTTTAATTGTGTTAAGGTACTAGTAACATCATTTAAACCATCTACATAAAACATTTCTTTTTGTTCAAATAATTTAATGTCATCAGTTCCTTTAAAATTATCAACAACATCTTCAAGACGTTTAAGAAGTGATTTTAACATTGCTTCAGATTCAATTAATTTTTGATGAGCATTATTTAATGTTTGATCTCTTTTTTTCAATTCAACACGAGTATCTTCAGTTTTTCTTCTTGTACAATTATAACATTTTTTACAAATAACAACTTTAATATACTCTGCCATTGGGTCTTGAATTCCCATAATTAATGTTGGTGCAATTGTTGTATGAATACTACATCCTACACAACATTTTCTCATACAAATATCACATGTAACATTCATATAATCTGCTCCATTCATTAATATATCACAAACAGGACAAGTATTATTTTTTCCATTTTCTTTTCTTCCAAATAATTTACCTTTTTGTATTCTACCAATTAAATGTTCTAATCCTTTCTTAACACGTTCTTCATCTTCTTTCATTGAATTAATTATTACTCTTCTTTTTTGTTCAAATATATCCCATTTATTTATTATAACTCCTATTTCTTGTTTACCACTTGAATTATCTTCTTGTATTTTACAATTTTCACAAACAACATATGGTTTTATAATTTGTTTTTTACTTGTTAAATTCTTAAATGTTGGAATAATAATTTCTAATTTGTTTTTATGTTGTTCACAATATGCTATTTTACAAACAGAACAACAACAAAAATCATCAGGATTAATAGATGTTGTTTTTGAACATCCTGGATATGAACATATTGGTTGTCCTGTCAAAGTAAATCTTGTTTTTTTCTTTTGAGTATTTGTAATTCCTTGATTTTCTTTTGTTTCAATCTTTTTTGACTCTTGGCATCTATTTAATTTCTCTTCAACAACTTTAGTTGTTCCAAACAATGTTAGTGCTGCTCGTGTTGTTGGATTTGGTTTATTATTATAACTATTTTCAATACTTTCAAATGACTCACTCAAACAATTCTCTTTTGACATTATAGGTGTTGATTGAAGAACTTCTTGTTGAAGCTCTTGTTTAAGTAATTCATTATCTTTTTTTTCTTTTTCCATTTCTTGTTCAATCTGTTGTATTTCTTGTTCACTTAATTCATTGTACTGACTTGTTGAAAGTGGTAGTGTCATTTCTTCAAATTCAAATTCATTTATTTTAACATTATCTGGAATTGGAATATTTCTTTGAATTTCAAAATCACTTTGTTTGTTTTCTTGTTGTTGTGGGAATTGAATTGATTGTTTAGCTATTGTTTGTTTTGATGGAACTATTGGTTGAACAAATGTTTGAGGAGGGACTATTTGATTAGATTGAGTCATCATTTGTTGTTGAGGAGAAGAAACGTTTAGTTGTTGATTAAAAGAATTATATACATCAAATTGGGAATTATTTTGTTGGTATTGTTGTTGGTATTGAAGAGAATGAGGTTGATAAAATTGTTGAGGCATATAAGGGTTACTATGAGTTTGTTGAGCATCTCTGTTAATAGGAGTAGAAGTAAACATCATATCATTTTGTTGAATATTATTTTGATATCTTTGAGGTTTTAGACCAGCACTAAAGAATGACATATCAATGAGTGGAGGCACAACCTGTGAAG